AAATCTTAATTACCTTAGTCACACCATAATTATCTTTGACTGTCAAGAATTGCATCACAGTTTAAATAAGCTGTTTCTGTAAATCATTTAATTATTAACCTTAAACCAAATTTTAGCAGAAATACTGACAAAGCAAGTCAGGTAATTTTCTATTTTAACTGGTTAAAGCCAGTCATCATCCTGTGTGAATTTAGAAACCCCACTTCCAGAGCAGCCGGGCCCAGACTGAGTGTAGGACAACCCCACCACAGACTCCCCCCCTTCCATTGTTATGTTAATGCTCCACTGGCACTGTTTACGAGCACTGGCCGATGTGTGAAGAGCTTGCTGTTAATGTCTGAGCACCGTTGTCCCATACACAAAGATGGGCTTTAGCAATGACCCCAGAAAGCTTCCCAACAGAGATCCCCCTTTCAAAAAAAAAAATGGGGGGAAAAAAAGCCTCCTTCCTGCCTCCGTAAGAACAGCGTCTCCATCTGAAAAGCTTCTTTTATGCCAAGGGAACGATGTCCAAGGCCGAGGAGGGAGAGCATGGATGGGGGAGGGGGTCTGTGGAGGCTTAAATCTGTATAGATGGCTGAGATAGAAGAGGTAGCCATAAGTTCAGCAGACGAGTGCTTGGCACTGGAGTGCTTGCCATGGAAGATGTGTTTCACTGTAAAGTGGTCCTCTCATTTCCTCCATAACTTTGAGGTTAAGATCAATTTTTAATCAAAGGCACTATAAGGAAACAGAGCTAGTAACACTTACCAAAGCAGCTCAGATTACTCTGGGTACACAATGTTCTTTCAAAGTTTGGACACTGCTACAGTTTCTCAAACACACATTAAGTTGATAAAGTTTAATCATTAGGTAAACCTGATTATTACAGATGTGAATTATTATTAGAGGGACTATTTATAGTTGGCTTTCACTACTTTCTAGACTATATCCAATGGTCAGTATTGCAACATGCTGCCCTTTGACACTTAATGAAATCCTTTTGAATAATTTGATATAAAAAAAAAATCTGCAGTATTTATAAAAATGTACAGAAATTTATTGATTGGAAATAATAAAAAGTATGACCACCATCCAATTCTTTGTTCAATTAAAAAAAAAAAAAAAAGGTACACAAACAGTCTTAATTTGGACTTGACAGAACAACAGCAATAAAGCAATGAATTTAAAACAAATGCAGTCTGAAACCAAATAAATACATCAATGTCCACTACTGGTCATTGTAGGAATCAGTGTGTTAATGTTTTCTGAAGAGTAACAAGTCACAATTAAGACATTAAAAGTATACAGAGGCCGTGTAATGTTGGCATGGTGTTTAGCACGTGTCGGCTCACATCTCTCCACACTGTGCAATGATGATGGGGAGTTTAGGCTTGTTGTTGGGCCCTGTTGGGACATTCTGTAGGAAGAAAGTGACACATGTTTAGAACAAAAATGCCACTCTAAAGCTGTAATCTAAGCACTACATCCAACTACGGTGATTTATATGGACTTGTACGAGTTACAGGTTTAATTATTTGTTACATAAACATTACGTTATAAACTATTAAACTGTAGGTGTTAGTATTAGGCTGGATACCTGCTTTAAAAAAAGGTCTTGAAGCCTTAAACATCACAGATGTAAAGTGATGAGTGTTTACAAAAGTCAACATTTTATTGAGTTGTGTTCGTTTATTTCCCAAAAAAGGCATTTCAAAATTAATTTTATGTAAGAATTTATTCATTTTACTATTATTATTTGAGCATTTTGGCTCTATTAGATAGCACAACAGAAAGAAGACAGAAACGGGCAGAAAGAGAGCGGAAGAAGAGATGGGGCCTTGTGAGAATTTCTTAAATTTAAATGGTAATGCTACATTTTAGCTTAATTTTTTTTCATGGCTATTCTTCCCCTTTGAAATGTTTTAGCTTAGTGTACAATGTCTCTGTCAATTTACTCCTACCAAAAGAACCACAAATACAAATCTGTCCGTTTAAACAAATATGGTAGATTTATAGGGAAGATAAGTTCTTACCTCAATTTTTCTCATGACCAGCAAGCCATCAACCAGTTTTCCTGTAATAATTACAAGTAAGACAATTCAACTCTGACACAGACAATACAGTAAAAAAATGCAATACTGTTGATTTACTCACCAAACACAACATGTTTCCCATCTAGCCAGTCACATTTAGTGCAGGTAATGAAAAACTGACATCCATTTGTTCCTGGACCACTGTTTGCCTGTAATATGATACGATATTAAAACAGACACATTTTGGTTAGGGTGATTTACCTGAAGTGTATCCGTGGAGATTAAGCCATCCAGTAGGAGTTTAACCCAATCAACTGGTAACATTTTCAATCACTATACTGCAAGATAAAATGTAAGTAGATTTATCAAAACACGTACCATTGAAAGAAGACCGGCAGCAGAATGCTTTATTCTGAAGTTTTCATCTGCAAATGGACCTCTATAGATGCTGCAGATACCTGTTCCATCACCCTGCACAAAAGATTAATAGTACATACAGTAGTAAGTAGGGGCTTATACAGAAAGCAATAGATTAGGAAACTTTAAATGTGTTGTAATATGCTGCATAACCACCAGAGGGGGAAACACCAATGTGGTATAAATCTGCTCAGTTCAAATCAATAGTTACCATGGCAAGATTTAATCAACAAATTCTCAAATTCACAAAGCGTTTGTGCAAATCTTCCATACACAGTCAAAAGACAACCATTAAACTACGGATATTTGTGTTGTCAATCCAGTCTTCCATGTACTTACATTTACAAAGTCTCCTCCCTGTATCATGAAGTCTTTGATCACCCTGCCAATGACCAATGGAAAAAGAAAATATCAATTCTGCTAAAGAAAACCTCACAAAAGTTAACAAATATATGAAAAGTATTACAGTCTAACTGTAATAGACAGCAGATTACAAATGTATGCTCTTTTCCATTTTCTGTTAGTCGGTGTACACAATCGCCACAGTAAAATGACTTAAGTTGCATGTCATTGCAAAATGCGAAGAGGCAGTGTAGCATTGCAAAAGTTTTCTAAAGGACACCGTGAATCACATAACAGATGTGCAAGTCTTGTCATCGTAGACCCTTTGTTAACACGGTACATTTCTTCTGTAACTATAGCGCAGAATATCATCTCAGCTTTGCTGCTGTAAACATTTCATAAGTCAAACACCAGAGTTTAATGTAAGCTACAGAAGTCAAGCTGCCATGTGAGTACCTGTGGAATGTGCAACCTTTGTAGCCAATAGGAACGCCATCTTTCCTAAAAAGACAGGAGTCAGTGAGAAAAGAAAATGAAGTAAGCAGTAAAATACTTTAATGTACAAACTGTGTCAACTGTCTCCTTGAAACGAAGTAGATTTGTCTATGTTTGTGATTCAGATTTTTACAGTAAATGGGCCAGCATGAAATATAGTACATCTGGAAAGTATTCACAGCACTTTCTCTTGTTCCACATTTTCTTATGATACAGCCCTATTTCAAATATTATTCTTGGAAATTCATTTAAAAAACAAAAAACAAAAGAAAAGTATTCACAGCCTTTGTCATAACACTCAAAACTGTTATGGCAAACCGGGAGACTAATCAGGTTTGAAGGAAAGACGAATGCAGCATTGTACAGAGTCATCCTTGATGATAACCTGTTTCAACAGAACAACAACCCAAAGTACAAAGCTAACATATCTCAACCCCTCATTAGGCTAGCTATCTTAACTGTCCATAGACAGGAGTGATTTCCTAACTTTTCCTCACCGGCCGCTAGCTACCTTATGGTTGTCTGTCCTGAACCTGAGACTTCATCACTGATCGAGCATCATACCACTTGCTTTTCAGTAAGGCGGGGTTTTTTTTGTACAGTTTAGCACACCAGCTAACTGATTGCCCTTGTTGTAAACATCCCAGCAATCAAAGATATACACTTTTTTCCCCTCACACCAGAGGAAGCAGAGAAACTGGGGCTCTACTCTTCGTTTGTGGCAACAAATTTTCAATTACGGACACACACACCAGGTCTCAGACCACCAGATCACATTATGAAGGGAAGAAATTGCCCCAGGCCACCAGGGCGCAAAGCAGTTACTCATGTAACATGGGGCTTCTTCCCTGGATTTTGAGGGCACAGAGAAGCATGGCTTACTTTCACTTCCTATGATAAGTCGCAGCCCACCTCCATCCACGGCTGGCTACGGGCTCCTCCAGGAGCTCCAGATTTTCATTGTGAATGAAAGGGCCTACAAACTGGCAACTTTAGCGGTAAGAGCACTGAAAATTACCTCCATGTTAGCTGCTTACCAAGCAGAGGTCTATGTAAGGCCAATGCGACTAGGACTGACTCTAATGTGTGGGAAGAGATCACTTTGATCACAGACATTTGTCTTTGCATACAACGCTGCACAATCCAAGCCACATTTCAGGACTGTTCTGGGTTCCATAAGGCATAGATGTGAGCCGGGGAAGCAGGAGGATGAGGTCTCAATCTCAATCTTCCCAGAAAACTGAGCCGACACCACCTCCGACCCCATGACAGACGTTTGCTCAGTCGGTCACCCAGCTTTCCACTCAGTTGAAGATCCCAAAACAAGGGCTGGTAAGCCACAACTCAGACAGCAGTTCCACCGGGACAACCCGCGTAGCAGGTAAGTGAGCAGCTCAGGAAAAAGAGGAGTGTGGCCTGACATTCCCCTGCCATTTTATCAAAGAGTACTCCAAGTTACTGCCTGTCTTCTGGCCTCGTGCACTCAGTTTGCTCTAGGGTGTAACTGAAGCCCAATCTGGCCTATGGGGAGTCTGGAATCTCCGTTTTCCATAATGGGACATCAAAACAAATGCTAGGAATGAGAACTTTAGGCTACTTGTGTAACCCCAGTTCTCAAAGTAACATGAGTAAGATGTCTCAATAGACAAGCCCTTCTTGCTAAGGAAAGGCAAGAAGAGGTGCTTATCCTGAATAACAGCTACGTAAGCATAAGATACTAAAGGGTAGGTGGTTCTGCCCAACGTGGGTGTTACAATTAGGGCTGGGCGATATGGCCTAAAATCCATATCACGGTATAATTTGAAGCACGTGCGGTAACGATATATATCGCGATATATTATTTTCTTCTGTACAACGTATTTTCCACACTATAAGGCACACTTAAATCCTTTAATTTTCTCAAAAATCGAGAGTGTGCCTTATGTATGAATTCTGGTTGTGCTTACTGACCTCGAACCGATTTGGGCGTGCAGAAATCTGTTAAAAAATGTTTTAGTACAACTTTGGTAAGCTGCACTGCTTGATGGATTGTCAGAGCATTACGGCTGCCGTAGTGAGGCGCTTCGCGGAGTAATCTTGGTACAAAACTCCGTTGCCTTCAGGTCCCAAAGTCAAACGAACACAGAGTTAAAAACGGTCTAAATTCTTTCATCTTTATTAAAATCATCAGCATTGCTGCTTTACCAGGTGTAACAATTAAGTTTAACATCCAGGCATGCATGAAAACAGAATTTATTAAATTTAACGGAGTTAGAATTTAACAGGAAGTTAGCTCGCTAGTTTCCACCTAAACATTTCATACCATGTTCTGACAGAAATTTTTGAAACTAATTAAAACGTACAGCTCTGCTACCACTTCCAACATAAATGAAGACAGAAAACTAAACAGCAGTGGCGTTTGCAGGGTTACTGAAGTTGGACTACCTGGTATATAATGTTGTGCTACGTGATTGCTAGTGACACAGCTATGTTAGCATAACATTAGCACAGTGAAGCTGGAGGATGAACACCAAACGTTTTTTCCACACGATAAAAGTTAACGTGAGGGATTCTGGTGGTTAGGGACAAATGCAATTGCATAGCAGGATACTATACACGGGCCAAACTTCAGTCAGGAGAACAACTGAGATTTTTCATCCACAATACAAGGTTATTAATATACTGCAACAACATGGGAATAGAGCAGCTGCGAGAGAATTCAACATTAAGGAATTAATGTTACAGAAGTGGAGGAAGCGCAGTTTTTGGCTTTCCCCATATTTCAAAAGTGCTTCATCTCTTTGCTATGACTGTCGCCCGGCATAATTTGCAGATGATAATGGTTGTAGCCGCTGCGATGCTTTCGACCAAAACAGGTGCAGCTTGATGACATCATCAACATGCGCTATCGCGGTAGAGCGGTACAGTCAAAATCTCTATCGTTGGCCAAATTTATATCATTTCTATCGTATATCGTTTCTATCGCCCACCCCTAGTTACAATCACCAGCCAATCAAGATTAGTGGAATGAGATAAATGCTCATCTCAGGGAGGCACATCCCATTGTGAGACATCTCACCCATGCTATTCTGGGAACTGGGGTTATGCAAGTAACCCAAAGTTTTCTGCAGCAGGAAACACTGCATCAAAGCACAGGACACACCTCAGTTCTGATAATGTTGATATGCCCTTTTTTCTTCCCTTCAGTCCCTTCAAATGCAAACCAATGAGCACCCCAAAAAGTTAATTCTGTTCATCTGGATGTAGCAATGTCAGTGGGAGAAGCGTTTCTCAATTTGCATATGCAGAATGCAATGCATAATCTAGGAAGAATACTACAAATAAATTAAGTTATAAATAATACAAAATAAATAATTCATATGATGAAGCCATGTCTTTGCATGCCTCAGCATATGTCTGAATGCATGACTTACAGGATTGTACTAAATACACAAGCGAACAAATCCCTTAACTTGAGCCTCACAGAAAGAAAGGGAGAAATAAGAGTCACAATTTAACATGCTCAAAAACATCATGTTCTGTCAAAAATAAATACGTAAAGACATAAATATCATCTACAAAGACATAAGAGGCTTCCTGGATATGGCAGGACTGTGCTGCACCAGTGCTCACACTGAATCACATGCCTTTCTAGTGATTGCACGTTGCACATTGCTGCCCCCTCATGGTGAAAGTTTAAATTCACAGAGGGGAAGTTCTAAAAGTACTTTGAGGCAACTGGCTGCCAAACATTGTTAACAAATTGCATAATTATTAATTTTTATTTTGAAAAATAAAATAAAAACTGTTATCAAGAAACTGACCTCATAGCCCATTGTTCATTCAGTGGGCTAGTTTCAGTCATTGCGCAAAGGTACTGTTTATATGGTTGGGGAAACCTGCAGTCAGCTTAGACTGAAGAAGTCACTTGAATGAGTGACGAAACATTTCTCCCACTGAAAAAGTTACGTCTAGATGAACAGAATCAGCTTTTTGGGATTTACTTAAACGGATGATTGAGCATGCATCAGGGCAAACGAATGAGCGGTTCAGTTCGCAAAACTTTTGCTTTTCTCTTAAGCATATTATGCTCATTATTAAGACAAAAGTATTTCTTATGTGATTACTTGATAATTGATGGAGTACTCAATCATTAAAATAATCAATAACTGCGGCCCTGCTACTAAGTGCTTTCAAGAAGAGCATGCAAATGTTATGTCAATAACTGTACAGATTGGTGATGTGGTATTTGCAAATATGCATCCACCACACATTGCCTTACCTGAACTCTCCAGTACAGAACTGCCTGTAAGAGATTATGAAACTGTTAAAGTTTGATTTCTGTTAACACATACTGTATATCAAACAACAACAACAACAACATAGAAGATTATATCATATAAGGCTGTGAGCAGTCTGTGATTGTGTGACTTGTTCTCTACCGGAAGTTCTCAGCTGTCTTTGGAACCACATCAGCAAACAGCTCAAACTTCATCCGTCCAACATCCTGTCAAACAGTAAAGCAAAGTTAACAATAATTGATCAACAGAATTATCAAAGTTCTCGCAAACATTTTTTAGAAAACAAAAACAAGACAATAAGTTTGATGGGGTGGTCCCAATTGTCATGAAAACACAACAAAATGTCAGTGCTTGGGAGGAAGAGAAGAGCAGACACATGGACAAATTGCAACTTTTATACTGTATATTTTAGTCAACTGAATCAAGTTTATAATTAGTCTACTGAAATCTTATGACATTTAGGCAACAAAAACTAGACAAAAACAAAGAATTTAGATGTTTAATTTAATGAATTAAACGAAATAATGTTTTAGTCAAAAGGATATACAAAACTACATCTAAATTTCATGTCAAAATCAACACTGCAATAAAGAAAACTACTGGTTAACCAACCAAAGGGTAACCACACAAAAGAATATACCTCATGGAGATTTGACACCAGAACACAGAAACAGGTTATTCTTGTCTAAATGATAATGTAACCTGGACTAGCCAGTTACACTCACCAACACTCTTTCAGAGGGAGCTGCAGTTACACTTTCTACCTTCTACTTCTGGCTTTTAATTTGTGTTGACTTCGCTGAACACTTTACATATTCGGCGAAGTTGAACATAGCTACTGTTGTTTAAACAACACAAGCTCTGCTGTGTCTCAGTTTTGATGTCATGCAGGTGTGACACTAGAAATAATGAGATGCTACAATTTTGATGCAAAACGTCACTGGACTATAAATCATCTTAGCCTTGTATTTACATATATACATGTAAGTGAGTGTGGCCATCTCTCCGCCCAGTTCTCTGATACTGTTGAATTCATGTAAGTGGCCCACTGTTACAACAATGTGTGCAAGTCTGTGTGAGAGAACAGTCTAACATTTGGAGTACAAGGAGCGGTTTGTCCTCATGACATCACTGCACAACTCGTCCTCCACTCCATGTGGACAAACCACAGTGGCCTCTGGATGTCCTGTGCTTGCCAGATAAAAAGAGATAAAACAGTATGCTTAAGGTTTCCAGACAAAGAAATGAAATCAGAAATTGTGTTGATAAAGAACAAACAAGCACAGCACATTTTATCTGGTAAGGGTTTTCCCTTGTTGGAGTCTGGTTTCCCCTGACGTTTTGAACCCAACAATAGGTAAGACAGCTTTTAACTTTTTTTCTTAACAGTGGACTACTTTTGTTGTCATCCTATTACTAGGGTATCAACTTTCCAAGATTATTTCCATTTCAAGGGATTTATGCTACTTGGAAAAACCAGGTCTCAAGTGCACCGACTTAGACATAAGGCCAAGGCTTTAACTAACAACCAATGTTGAAATTTTCTAATCCACAGCAAGCAAATTCACCACACCTATATTAACTGATCAGGAGGAGTAAAAGAAAATAATAACAATACAAAAACTGAGAAAAAACCACACAGCAAACTAATCAAGCCAAACCCGAGGCTACAGTGTTGACATAGTCCACATATCAACTTTGCAACAGGAATAATCACCAGTCTATTGTGGTCAAAGACAGATAAGTTGACATTTCTGTGAACCGGCCATTAACTGGATCTTGATTCCCAAGAAACGAGTGTAACTTGATATACATGAGGTGTAGGCAAACAAAATAATTTAAAGGGAGCAGTTTCAAACACACATTGTGAGCATTCACTGGTTGTCGTGGCTGCAGGACATGCAAATTGATGCACCAGGAAGTCGTCACTTCCATGATACATGTGGGAGGGAAAACAAGCCGGAGTTCTTAGAAAAAAAAAAATAGAAGGCGTGCCTCATCAGGTGTGTGCATCAACAATGGGGAAGCAGGATCATGAAGAGTTGCCTACCTGCTCATAACAGTCAGGTCAGAAGCAGGACTTACATTACTGAACAAGAGTTATCCACCTCTGCTGAAGCTTACGGGACTAATACAACACAGCATAGAAAGGTAAATTCAGAGCCATTTATTATTTCGTTCTCATGACAAACACAGGATTCTTCAACGGCAGAACATGATTTAAATCTAAAGGAACATAATGTTTATGTGTGTGCTGTATTCTGCAGAAGTGATTCTGCGGTGGCAAACTGATTGGTCAGTTTGAATACAACACTTTAGCATGTCTAAAAATTACAATAAAAGGAGTTTACCGTACCAAAATAACAACTGATGCTTATTTTCATTAGCGATTTCCCACTTTCTTAGGTATGTAGGTACATACAAGATAAGCAAACTGGTCACGTTAATCAATGAGGCCCTTACAATTTTTTCTGGGATGCACATCAAGCGAAACTGAGAATTTTTGCGTTTGTTCATTTTTAACACTGCTTGGTATCTCATTTCCTCTTTTAATCTAATATTTTAATATTAATAATTTACCAGTGCATCAAACGGATACACCCCAATTTATTTTCAGGGTGTATGGTTTGTAATCATCTCAGTCTTAGCGACCTGTAAGCAGGGTAACACAGCTTTTAGGCTACGACTACACCACATTTGATAATGATACATATCTATAGTGCTACATGAATGCATTTTGCCAGTCCACTGTGACCCCTTAACTGTTCAGACTTTACAAGTGCGGTGCATACTGTAATTATCAGGAGAACGTTTTCTAAAATGAAATGAAATGTAAACAAGAAAAGACACTTTATAACTTGCAGGAGAAAAATATCTTTATAGTTTAATGAACTTAAGATTCATACAATGTATATGTATTTCCTTTGGTGGAGTCTTAAAGCAGACCTCTAAAATACCCTCTTCATATAATGATCAAAGTTTAGAAATACAACGATAATCTGAATAGGGGCAGGAGCAAAGGTATTCAATAAAATAGATCTGCAACAATTTACTCAGTAACTCAATTATAAAATATCCTGAAGGCAATATTTTTTAATATGTTTTACAATTAATTATTAACATCTACACCAGGAGATCATCTGTAGCAGGAAAGATTGCAGCTACTTATTATTCTATCTATTATTCCTTCAATTAACCCTTTCATGCATAGTGGTCACTACAGTGGACAGCTACTCAAAGGCTGTTTTATTGTGTTTGTGTCAGTGTTGATGGTATACTTGCACATAAACCACTACATTGGACACTGATGTGTCACTCCATACCTTGCCACTCACTGGTTGTTTAATATTACTATAGATGCATGGCATGTTTCATTGTAATTATCGTTATTTAACCCTGTCATGCATGAATTATGACAACCTAAATCAGGATTTTTTTCTCAAGTATTTTTATTCATCTTTTCAAACTTGGTAAACTTGGTGTGTGTCTGTGTTTCTGTGCATGTGTGCACATTAACCTATGTTTCAGCGATCTAATGAATTTGCATGACTGCAATGAAGATAAACAAGTTTATCGACATTCTCAGAACTGAGGCGTGCCCTGTGCTTCAATGCAACTCTTCCTCCTGTACAAAACTGAAGTTTCGATGCTATAGATGTTAATAATTAACAATAATATTTCAGTGTCCAACCTAGCAGCACTGGGTCAGTGGCTCAGTGTGTTACATATTTATATTAGTATAATCCAGAAAATTAATCCTACTAAAACCGTGAAATAAATATGATCCAACTCCACGCCCTTTAGACTCACACTGGTTGTTGCAGGTATTGCTGCCATATCAAGTAGAACAGCTGCCAAAAGCCTTCAGCAAGCTTCCTGGTTTAAAGATTATATCAAACTAACTTTACAGTTCATCTCCATATTTTATTTTATGTTCTGTAGCTCTACTGTAGATTTTAACTGAAGAAAGCAGCGGACGGGAGTGGCGAAGTTCGCTTTTATTCATGTTGAAACTTGTTTATCGGGTGGTTTCAGAAAAGAGTCCCACCAGCTTTTTCCTAGTAAAGGTGTAATGGTGATTACAGGAACAAGCCCTGCTGTTTTGCAAGGCAGAAAAATGTTTTCCTTCATTCCACGTGAGCTCACCGCCTCGCTAACGACCGCAACTCTTTGCGTTAAACTATGACAGCATTGTCATCATTTCTGCTGTTGTGCTATCTAGGGGCAGCATAGGCTTAAGACAGTAGGCTTGCTGGTTAGTAAAAGGCAGACGTCACAGCCCCCCCTGCCAAATACCAAGTGTGTGGTTTAGGTTGTGGTAAATAAGTAAAAATACAATGGCATGAAAAAAAATGTTTTTCCTTTTTTGTTAACTACCATGTTATTTTATTTTTATATTTATCTTTTATGATATTTTCTCCCC